TGGCAGGCTAGGTAAAATTTGGTAAATTTTAGGTAAATTGGTAAAAAAAAAAATTTAATTTGGTAGGCTAGAATTTTCACTTTAAAAATTTCTAGTCCTTTTTTAAAAATCATTTCTTCTTAGACAGCCTAATCTGGCTAGTCTCATTATTTTTCATTACTTGTTCTCCCTGTCAAGGACACTTTCTTTTAAAGTCTCTTGTGTTCAATCATTTTGTCATTTTGGTTTTGTAACAGCAGAGTTGAAAGGCTGCAAGATTCCATGGAGCTCTCCAATCTGAACCAATCCCTGACCCCCTTCCCACCTCAATGTTATCTCTCAAGTCTAGCCATTCACTCAAAAGGGTAAATCCATAAATCAAAAGTAAAACACCTCTTCGTTAAAGTTGAATCTTTACCTTTTGGCCTCTTCCTCTTCTCTCTTCTTTTCCTTTTTCCTTTCTTCTTCTAGCTCTTGTAATTTTAGTCTTTCTTGATTTCTCCTCCTTATAGCTCCTTCACTGAAGTGTTTGGTTGTATCAAACATAACCTGTCCCCAAACAATTCAAAGTTTCATTAGAAAAGTTTGCCAGCTGTGTTCCAGCCCAGAGAGATAAAACTAATATGGACATGGCAATTCAAAACCAAATGAATTAAAAATGTTCTCTCTGCATCCCAGTACCCATACTGTCCCACTGCTTCTTAATAACCTTCCAAACAGTTCTGTGAGCTCGAGAATTTTCTTTGGCAGAACCTTAAGGAGCTCACTTTACAGTCATAGGTGACATCACAATGCCATAACAGGCATAGTCTCTTACGGGAAGCTTATACAAGCTAGGAAGCGGTATATGGGTGGTCATTATAGCATTTGTTATATCTTTTGTCTGACTCAATAGCTCATATTTTTTTTTAAATGTACATTTTAATATAAGTAGCTTCACACCTAACATACACACTCGTACACAGGAAGCTACTTAGGGTGAAACTCCAAATTTATGCTAAAGACTGATTTAGAGAAAAAGGAGAGTTTAGCAGTATCTTTTCTTCTGCTGGATTAAGACTTCAAGAAGGAGAAGACTAAGCATTCAGATATCAATGAAGTGACATGATTGGATAGACAGGCCAATTTTGAAAGGAAAGAATCAAAGTTTCTTGTGATTATAGTTTAGCAATTTAATTGATAGACATCCTGAAAATATAAGTTGTGATCCCAATAATAAAGAGGCAGTAAACTGTTCTACTTAGGATTTCAAACTGCACGTATTCCTCTCTCTCGACAACTTGTCAAGTAGAATAAGCACATGAGATACTTCCATAAGGGCCATGAAACATCCTTTAACACCCTCAAGTTGGGGCAGAGCCCCAGATCATAACCACCATCGCTTTAAAACTGCAACTGGCAGAATGCCTGATATCAGAAGAATGTTCAATTCAGGATTATTTTTCTTCTTAAACGTCCATTTACTAATGACAACTCAAATCTTCACATTAGTTGTTGATCGGAGCCTAGTGAGGTCTACGGAAATTTATTCTAGATGCTTCCTTCTAGCTTTTACTTAGGACCGACCACCTGAACAGTGGGAAATAAAAGAAACTCTGGCTACTTCTTACCTTAATGTTACATGCCAGAGCTTTCCCATCATCACCTTTAAGCATCAGCTTCATCCCTCGAAGGGACTCCATGGCTTTTATGAAGTCAGTTGACTCCTGGTACTGTACAAAGGCCTCGAAGGTCTGCAAGCCGAAGCTAAAACCCCCAAAGCTCCCACCAGTCATCGCCTCTCTGTAGGGGTCAAGCATAGGGATATCCACATTCTTGATCTTCCCAAAACTTTCAAATACCACTCGAAGGATCTCTTCACATGGCTTCTCTCCGCTGGAACCTTTAGGTGCAAACCACTTGCAGGGCAAGCCTTCAAAATATATAGAATCCAGGTTCTTATCATGGTCCTGCGCATCAGCCCCATCACTAAATGGGGCATCCTTGGGGAAGTGCTCCCACTCTCCCTGGGCATCTGTAGCCACTACTTTTAAGTCTGTTTTCAAACCATTTAGCTTGATGATCTTCCCATGTAATTTTGCCTTCAGGATCGGAATCAAATTCCGCGTTTCAGCCTCCCCCTCAAATTGGATGAAGTCCTTTGTACTCTTGGAGAGGCGAACTGTGGTGAACTGATCAGGACAAATCAGGCTTTTCAGCTGATCGAGAACTTCCCAGTTCGAAAAAGGCCTCGAAGGTTCTATACTCTCTGGGAGCAATACACTGATCATCAATTTTGCTATGGGCTTGAGGTAAAGATGCTGAGCTGCACAGAGCTCTGTTGCCTCAGAGTTATCATATACCACTGTGACCGTCATCGTATCCTCAGGAAGGAAACCTTGGAGGACAAAAGGGAACATTTTCATACAAAAAGAGCAAAACACAGATTTGGATTTTGAAGGTGCTAGCATTTGCTGGACTTCGATCAAATTGAGAGGGGGAAATATACTTTAGATAGAATTAAGACAATAGCTTACATCTGTTTAACGTGTTTTATTTTATTTTTTAATTTAAATTATTGGGGCTACATTGGTTAATAAAATCTAATAAGTTTCAAGTGTGCAATTCAACAATATGTCATATGTCTATTGCATTGTGTGTTCACAACCTAAGGTTAGATTTCCTTCCATCACCAAATATTTTCAAGGATAATTTCTATAGTTTGTTAAAGAGTTTTTGAAAGGTTTCAAAGAGTTTACATATACTGTGTCTGTTTCCTTAACAGTAGAATTTCAGGGAAGATGAAATGAGCAGGTACATGTGAAATCCTTAGAATAGCACCTGGCACATAGGAATTTCTCGATAAACATAAGCTATAACTATTATTTATACTACTTTATCTCATTTGATTCGTGAAGCAACCTGTGAGTAGGTATTTTCATGCCTGTTTTACTGATGGAGAAATTCAGATTGATTTAGAAAAATTAAACAAGTTGCCCATACACTGAGACTCCAAGATTCCAAATCTCCAATCTATTGTATAATTAATCTCAAAAGTCAAGTCCCATATAAACTTGCTGAGGTGGCACAGAAGCAGGGCGAGGGTAAAATACATGTAGTACATTCGTGGACATGCACCCAACTGATAGTTCTAACCCATGTATCCAATTTAGCATCCTTTGTTCAGGTTGGTTTCTAAATCTGACATGGACATATCTACTTTTATTCTTCCAGTTTATTAACTAACTAAATTGAACTCCGAGTTCAACTGAAAAGCAGACCATCTCTTCTAAAAGGGACGAAATGAATTTGTCCTCTACTTTGGGACTAGAAAAACCCGTAAACATGAGTGTTTGCTGGCATTTCATTTTAATAAACTCTTTTAAGCTGTCCCACAAATACTAGAAATTAGAGATTTCTGCTCCTATTTGCTGACTTGAAGTAGGACTTCCCAATAAGAGGTTTTTGTTTTGTTTTGTTTTGTTTCCTAAAAGCGAATATATTCAAAATCTACATGACCTGAGATTCTCATGAATGTCAACATTGAGATTTAGACTCAAAAATATATGGTCAGATGATGGAAATACTAACATAAAATTTACTACTAAATCTTGGTTAACATTACAGGTACATATTTCTTTAATAACTGTCCCTGAAGGACAACCTAAGTCAACCCCCTTTAGGAGACAAAGTTTATATAAACTGTTTTTTTAAAAAGCCACCAAAAGCAGTATCTAAGATATTAGATTCTAGAAATCTTTATGATAGCAATAATGAACTGAGACAATATGAGCATAAACAAGTTCTCTTTTTCCAAAAATGTCATCTAAATAGCAAAGTAGAGAAAAAAATCCATTAAGTTTGCTCCAATTTGCAACATAAGCAAGAGTCAACACTAAGTTCCTTTAGGAGAAAAATTAATTTGAAATTCAATTAAGATATATCAAACTCCAAAATTTATCTCTAATCAATAGGTATTTATTTATACAACCCACTTTAAAGTAATGTTTTTTTAAAAAATATTCTAGAAAAAGTACACACGAAATACTTAATCACTTCAAATTAATCAGGTTTGTCATATTCTCCATTATTCCAGTGATACTGCCTTTGTTTTAAACATTTTAGAATGCTTCTTTGGATTGATTTCAAAGTTTGCATTACACTCTTTTAAATAGCCTTGATGGAGGTCAATTTCAAAATTCTTTTATCATGGATTTGATATTTAGAAGTCATTAAAAATTATCTAGAATCAAGACTTGGATAAAATTTGTGACTACAAAGAACAAATTTCTTAATGGGCTCGTAACCTCCCTTAGAAAGAGGTTCCAAGGAAGGCTCTAATTAATTTTCTTTAATTAGTGAGTACATTGTCAGAATGGGTACAGGGCTTTGAAAGATGGCAACTTGAAAGACAACAGTTATTTCAATGTTGTGGTATAATGGTTGCTAAAATGATCTTGATTTTTCTAACCCTCCCTGTATCTACAGCCTTTGTAATGTGACTTTGAGCTATCGTTATCAAGAGATAGAGTCTATTTTTTCCCAGCCCTTTAATTTGAGCTGGTTGGTTGGGTTTTTGTTTTGGCCAATAGAATGTGACAGAAGTGACCACATGCCAGACCTAAGCCCAGGTGTCAAGTGGATCCTTACTCTCCTGGAATCCTGCCATGCCACGAGGACAAACCTGGGCTAGGCTGTTGGAAGGTGAGGGGTCACATGAAGAAGAGCCCACTTGTGACAGATGGCTCTCCTAGACCAGCCAATCCCCAGCCAACCCACCAACTCACCACTGGCACATGAAGAAGCCCAGCCAAGATAAGCTGGAGCTCTTACAGATCAGCAGGACAGTCCTGTAAACTTACAGATTTGTGAAAACTAATAAATGGTTGTTGCTTAAATCACTAACTGATGATACAAACTTCTAAATTTTAATTGGTTTCAAGATATACAATTCCACTTGATAGTTTTCACACAAATAAATAAAAATTATAAAAACTCATTCCTAGGAGCGTTTGGGGAAGAAAGAAAAAATAGGCACCTTCATATCTTACTAGAGGTAATATAAATTAGTTACATCTTTTTCTAGAATAATTTAGCAAAACAAAGCAAGAATCATAAAAATTCTTATTCACTTTGACCATGTAACCTGCTCTAGAAACTTATCTTAGAAAAATAATTTAAAATAAGAAAAAACATGTTCAAAGCTGCTTACTGCAGTGTCATTTTAGATACATTTTTGTCAAAAGTACACGTAGAAATAAAGTTCATAAATTGAGCTATAATTTTTTTGCAAAGTGGTTTTTGCTGACTTAATCAATACAACAGCAATTCCCTCCTCCCATCAGAGATACTCCCTCTATCTTCCATCGCTATAAATGCTGATAAGCTTCTGAACCCATAACCAAAGTTTGTGTGAGTAATGATTGAAGCCTGGGAGATTAGATCAGGACTTTAAGTAATGAAGAAGCAGTTGGCCAATTCAATAGTAGCTACATCATGGGCTGCAGAAGTTATTTTTTAAAACTGCTTTACTGAAACATAATTGGTATACTATAAACTACATGTTTCATAACATAATAAGGTGCACATGCATCAAGTTTTCATTTTGATGAATTTTGACATATGTATACATACCTATGAAACTACCACCACAGTCAAGATAGTGAAAATGCCCACCATCCCAAAAAGTTTTCCTCATGCCCCTTGGTAATCCTTCCCTTGCCCCCAGCAACCACTGATCTGACTGCACAATGCTTAAGTCATAGCTAATTTATCTTATAGTAAAAACAAAACAGACATTTTGGGAAAATACTCAGTTATGTCCAATACTCTTCTTTAACAGGTGCTTTTCTAAATCAGGATACTTTCTCTACCCTGAGCTTCGATGTGCCAATCCTTGAATCTAGTTAAAGCTGCATAAGGCCCCACTTTGTTCTTGAGAATAGGTCTAAAATGGTTTGTGCACCGCTCCTCATACAATCCCTGTTTTTAAACTAATTTAAACACATTTAAATAATCTAATTTAAATTAGATTAAAGACTTAAATGTAAGACCCGAAACCATAAAACTTCTAGAAGAAAACATAGGCAGGCAGTGAACTCTCTGATATTACTACTAGTAATTTCTTTTTTTTTTTTCCTCTTTAATCCCACCCCGGGCACTTCCACCCCTGACCCAGGGTATGGTCCGTGGCTCCACCTGGGGCATGAACCCAAGGCCTTCTGCGTGTAAAGCAGACATGCTAACCATTACACTATGGAGCCACCCACTACTAGTAATTTCTTTTTGGATATATCTTCTCGGGCAAGGGAAAGAAAAGAAAAAAATAAACAAATGGGACTACATCACAGTAAAGGAAACCATCAACAAACCAAAAAGACAACTGACTGAATGGGAGAAAATACTCGCTTATAATACATTGGATAAGGAGTTAAATTAGATATATTTTTAAATAATCTATTTTAACTTAGATATATTTGTAAGTAATTCATTTTAAATTAGATATATTTTAGTGGATATAGTTATGTTATTTTATGTACTTTACATATATTAATTAAAATGTATCTCGCAAAACAGGTAGAATCACTGAGATCAAGTTATTAGTCTATGACTTAAAATTGATTCTTTAGTACAACCTAATTTGCCCTCTAAATTCCCTTTTAATATGTCTGTGCTTCGGTTGATGGCAATGGTAGAATTCATTAAGAATTGTCCCATCATTTTCACTAATCATTGTTATATCCATAGAGTCCTTTATTGTTGTCAACAAAGGTTTAAAAGCCTAGTATAAACCAAGCCCTGATGGTAAGGAATGCCATAGTTATGGCCTCCCTAAATTATCTAAAAGTTAAATTTTAGTAAAGTTTTTAACTATTCCTATGTTCTTTTATGTTCCACTATGACCTTGCCAATCCCCGCTACCACGTACACACATCTTTCTTCTCACCTGATTAAAAGCAACACTATTGAAATCATTTATTCTTTAATACCTTTGTAGTGGCAGATGAGAGCTCATCTAACCTTAAAAAATTGTAGTTATTCAATAATGTTTACACAGTGTTCATTCCAGCAGTATCACATGTATATAGCTTTACCAAAGCATTTCACTCAGCATCCTCCTCGTGCCAGAAAATTTCCAGCAGATTCAGAGAATATGGCTGCTTTCCCTAGTGATCTGACTGCCTCGTTTTCCTTGCCTTTATACCTAGTAGCAAAGTTGACTGAATAACAGTAGAATAAGAGAAGGGAGAAAAGGAAACATCTTGAGATGTTCTCACAAGCCTAAAATGGTTGTTTTAACCTGCAGTGAAAATTCAATACATTCTGTAGGGTCTTCATCCAAACTTATTTCAATACCTTCTTTCACTTCAGAAGATACTAGAGAGATTCCTGCTATATCTCTGGTTTTTTAGATCAGAAATGTACTTTAAAACTTTAAAAGCACTTGACTTGTTAGCAAGGTATCCATCATTCATTCTCTCTCACTTTTTCTCACTCTCATAACTATTTGCTGTCAGAGTGCTAGCAAGGACATTTGAATGAAGCACTTTTTTAAAACTGGTGAAAAAACTGGAACACCTGCACAACTCAAAATCATCTTTCAAAGTAGTTCTTTGCTGCCTTTCTTTTTTCTCCAGGCTTTTGAACCTTAAAGTTAGTAATTTTAGAAGCATTTAAGATATAAAATTATATCAACATATTTATAGTCAGAGGGGCAGCAAAATGTATTTGAATCAAATCAGCCTAGCCAACTGCCAATTTCCTGGCTAGTACAGAATCCCAGTAACTCTTGACCAAATAGAAGTATTTTCCAGCTCTTCATTCAAGAGATTGTAGATGAACATTCATGTGTTTTGGCACATCATTAACCTGAGCAACAATTTTAAAACTGTGGCTGATCATATGCTCTGATCTTTAAAAAAAAGATTTTTAAATCACATCATTAAAATGAGCGGCCCTCAGTGTTTCAATAATAGCAATATAGCCAACATAGGACACACCAAATGACTAAATTCCCAAATTAGGATGGTCATTTAGGGCTTATGGGGGCACTAAAGGCTTTGAGGACAGAAAGGAAGGGACTTTTGGGGACTTTCATTCATTCAGCCATGATAAATTTGTGACCAGGAAATATGAGTGTCCTACTGAGAGAGAATCTCTTCTACCACTGCTAAACGTAAACCTGCTCTAAGGTAGAGCTTAGTATGGGAAATTTTGATCCTGAAATGAAGAAAACCAGATTCATGTTAATTCATCTCTTTGGGCAACTTAATTTCCTGTTTTCATATCTTTATTTTAAAAAAAATCATACTAATGTTTCCTTTATGTGATAAAGGAAAGTGTTTCTAAGGCTAATAAAAAATAAAAATAAAAAATAAATCAACCTAAAGAAAGGTATGTGTTAGGCCTTTTTATGCAAGTGCATTTACATAACTCTGTCAGTGAGTATGGGAGTCATTCCATGATGGCAAAGGAGGGGGCAATTTTTTAAAGATATGCATAGGTCAGTCGCAGACCTATCTGACCAGCTTTTGGTCCTTTACCCTTTCTTTAGCACCAAGAACATTTTTGTTATAGAACACATCTCTCCAGATACTTCCAACCAGGAATACTGCCTTATACCTTGGATTAATTCATTGTAATGCTACTAAAGTAGACTCATTGCTTTCTCTTCTTCACATTTAAAAAAAAAAGCTATCTGATGTAAAGGAATGTGGCTGAGTATCTTAGGCTTTTGCCTCACTCACTGAACAGAGCATTATTTGTGGGAAATAAAGTTGCCAATGTTTTACTGCTCTATTTTTTCTTCACAATCTGAAAATTACCAAAAAATTTCCTGCCCATGAGTCGCCACCTACAGGGAAAAAGCAGCCTTTACATGGGACTGTGTTTGGCACTACTCAGCAGTTTCTGAGAGCAGTAGTATTTCCCAACAGTTTTAAAATCCCCAGGTACACTTATTTGAATACAAGTCCTGCAGAATAGGCTATTACTCAATACCTTATGGTGAATAAGTGTTCAAAGGAGGAAAGATTGGAGTAGCCACAACTCATGTGAACTCTTCATGGTGGACCACTGTGTTGTGGTATCCTGACCAGGAATCACTGCCAGAAAGAAAGAGGTATAGAGTCAAAAGTGGATGAAATGGTTTAAAAAAACCTGTACATTTATAGTTTTCTGCATAAACAGCATGTGAGATTTACACAGTTGTAGTTATAGACCATCATGATCTGGTTTTTGCACCTATTTAATAACAATTTCAGATATTGATATAGTCAACGCATTTCTCATTTCTCATGCCTATAACAAACTTCTGTAGAAATCCTATATGAGAGAGAATTATATAGAAACTCTATAGAGTTACTACATATTTGGATCTTCTCCCTTCGTGGGGATTTGCATTTCCATTTTTTTTTTAAAGAGAATTACCCTTTCCAAAAGAGTACCACTACTACTCCATACCGCTAGTATGAGAAAGGGCACCCCTATAAAAATCTTTGTCCAAATCTTTTTTAAAATGATTTCTTCAAAATATATTATCACATCAAAGGGTAGGAATAAGTTCATATGGCTCATTAAATATTGTCAAATTGTCCTCCTGAGGATTAAGTCAATTTATCATGCCATTACAGTATTAACATGCCTGATTTCTGTGGAGCTCTGCTTACTTTAGATCATTATCATTTTTATTTCTGCTCCCTTTACTAGTGTATAATGGCAACTTAAAGTGATTTTAATTTGCATTTAATTTTTATGTAGGCTAAAGTTCCAGCCAACCTTTACACTGATGTTCAACTGCCAGTCAATGTGTCCAAACAGAATGTGTCATTCGTATCTCAACCTATTAAGTGCAACAGAACTCTTGGGCGTCACCAGTGATTCCCATCTCCCTAACAGAGCCACTCTCCACCCAGGTGCTCGAGCTCAAAGCCAGGAGTTATTCTTCCCTTCCCCTCAGATTCAATCCTTCAGCAAGTCATTTTGACTCTACCTTTACCACACATTCCAAATCCATCTCCTTCTTCACTGCTACTCCCCAGGTCCAAGCCACCATCATCTCTAACCTGGATTACTGCAACAGCCACTCAACTAGTCTTTCTTCTTCTATCCTTGCCCCGATAGAGTCTACACTACACAATAGTCAAAACGCTTTTTGAAAAGCCTTAAGTCAGATTCTGTCACTCTTTTGTTCAAAGCCCTCTGGTGGCTTCCTGCCATGCTTTGAACAAAATTCAAACTGCTTATCCCCAAAATATGGCCCTTACCCATCTCTTTCAACTCATTTTGTACCCTGTCCCCTACTGCCCTTGTTCTCTCCATCACAATCACATTGGCTTTTTATTGCTCCTTAAATACATCGAGTTCACTCCTCAGAGCCTTTAGCACTTGTGGTTCCCTCTGGCTGAAGTGCTCTCTTCCCCAAGATTTTCTCATGGCTGGCTCCTTCTCATTTTTCATGTGGCTCAGAGAAGCCTTCTCTGAACACTAAACAGCACTGCTCCCCACCCTGACTCGTTGTAGCATATCAACCCATTTTATTTTCACAGTAACACTAACATGATCAAATTATCACATGTATTTGTTAATGTGTTTTTTTTTATCTGCACCCCCTTCACCCTCTAGTCCGCAAGTTCCATGAGGGCAAGGACTGCATGTGTCTGGTTCACCATTTTATTTTCAGAGCCTAGAAGGGACTTGATAATGCTAAATCTTATCCAAACCAGAGAATTTGCTTATCAAATACATTTAAAAGGCGTTGCTTCCATAGTGAAAATACTAATAATAGCACCTAAAGATGAGTCATGAAATGTTAGTGCAGACTTGCTTATTCTTTCAGGCTCCCAGAGCTATCAACATTAATCGGTGAATTTGGAGATCAATCAAATGTACTTACCAAGCATCTACTTGGTGTAAGACACTTTGGGGAATACAATGATGAGTAACTCTCAAAGAACTAAATCTAGAAAGAGAAATAAATTTATCTGAACTCTTTTCATCATTTTGATCCACATACTATACACAGCAACTTTTAAGCAGAAAGAAAATCTGGGTCCAAGGGAAGGATAAAGGAGATCAGCAAGGCCTGCCAGAATGTCTCTGTGGAGCCCTAGCACAGTGGACTTCGAAATCCCAGCCAAGTGGAAAGGTACCAGCTACGGATAATGCTCAGGCCCTGGCCATCAGCCCTTCCCCAATGATGCCCACTGCATCCCTGTGTGTTAAGATTATTTACACTTCACCGAGTTGATTCTACTGCATATCTGACAATTCTCTAATTACACAGTAAAACAAAGAGATAATCCTAAATTAGAATCTTTTTGAGTAGGGGCTTGTTTCCTTAGAGTAGGGCTGGGGCCTACAGGGTCAGGCAGGTTCCAGGACTTGGGGGGTTAGGTGGGCGTGGAGCACTCAGTCCTCAGCTAAAGGAGTGAGCACTACAAAGCTCTGCTTCCCATAGGTAAAATACAGAACAGGCCTTCTGGCAGTTCAAGAGAAGCTGGAAATCCTGATTTTTTTTTTTTTTAGATCTTTCAGTTTTTCAATGTCAACCGCTAATTCAATGGCTTTTTAAAAATTGTTTATTGGGGTAACATTGGTTAATAAAATTATATAATTTTCAAGTGTACATTATAATTTGACACCTTTATAGTATATTGTGTGTTTACCACCCAAAGTCCATTTTCCTTCAGCTCCCATATAATCGACCCCCTTTACCCATCTACCTCCTCCCTCTTCCCTCACCCCCTATCCTCTGGTAACCACTAGTCTATATAGTCCATGTCCATGAGTCTCTGTTTGTTTGTCCTGTTTATTTGTTGCTTTTAGGTTTATATCCCACATATAAGAGATATCATGTGATTTTCAACTTTTTCTGTCTGGCTTATTTAGCTAAGCGCTTCTTTAGCCAATCATCTATCATAGGACACTCCGATTGCATCCAATTCCTGGCCACTGTGAATAATGCTGCTATGAACATCAGTATCAAATATTTTTTCGGATGCAATGGCTTTTTAAAACATTGTGCAGGCTGAAGCACACCTATCTAAGGCTAAACTTGACCCAGGGCCCCTCCCCTAGCTTGCTCCTTCTGCACACTGAACCCAAGAATCTGTTTGGTTGCATGTACCTGGTGCTCCCCCAGGGTTCAGGAAATTCAAACACAAGAGTTAAATATGCTGACACCTGGGCAAGGTTCTCAAGAAAGAGTGAGACAGAGCAAGGCTTAAGGACCCAGGTAGGGCACACCAAGTCATTGGTCCTGGTCTTGCCATGTTCTTCCTTGCCCCAAAATTCTCGACATCTCCCTATTTCTTATAGCATCAAATCACAAGTTCTTTTCAAGGCTCTCCAAAACATGATTCTACCCGACTTCACCAGCCTTATATTTCATCATGACCCCATGTCTATCCAATCTAGCTGGGCCAGTCTTCCCTGAGTTCCTTTAAACATGTTGATCCCCTCCGCCAAATTTCCTCTCCCTACATTAAGTTCCACCCACCCTCAAAGCCTTGCTCACATCCCACCTCTTTTATGAAACCCTCTCTGTGACAGTACATAGTAAAATGCTTTTGAACTCAAGAGGTGGTGTCAAACAGACCTGGGTTCAAATCCCACCTCTGCCGCCAACCAGCTGGGTGATTCATCTAACCTCTTTGAGCTTCAGAAGATGTTAATAGGGCCTATTTTACAGAGTTTTTGAAGGATTAAGGGAAACAATACAAGTAAAATATTTAACCCCCAATAAGTACTCAATTAATGTGAGCTCATGTTATTACTATGGCTGACCTTCCTCTATTTCTGTAAGTGGGCCAGCCTTTACACTGTCTCTTCTGAGTAAAAGACCACTGGAATCCATGCAGTCCACCTTTGCGCAGACTGGGCCCTACGCATTATTCTACATCAGCCCCCAGCTCGGCTTTAAAGCTTCTTATAGTTCCAGGAGCATGTTGGATATAACTTAGTACTCATATAGACCTAGTGGACCCTAAATCAGAAAGTTGCACATGTATCACCACCCTCGCTCTGAAACAACTCAGCAAAGTCCC